CCCCCCCCCCCCGAGATGACCTGCGGTTTTCTAATACAACTGGTATTCTGCAAAAAAAAAAACTATGTGGTTTATTGGTGTTGAAGTAGAGCAAGAGACGAGTGCACCCCCTCCTCAAAAAAATCCTGGATCCGCCCCTGTCTATCCTAGTTTACAACCTCAAAACCCCACTGTTTGAAAACACACATTTTCACACTAGCATTCACCTTGAGGCCTGATCTTCCTAATGGGATGTTCAATTGTGGGGCCTTCCTGGTACTCTTCCAGCCAAGGTCCAGGAACATAAATCGTTTGCTCCAGGCAAGACACTAAGGAGTGTTGCACTTCATCAACGGAATAAAGCTGCATGGTGTACGTAAAAATCTGAGGTCTTGCAGACGGAAGTAGAAGGGTAACAACTCCTGTAGAACCGCGTAGATGACGAGAATTGTAATCATCAGCTTTAGTGAAGATAAATGCACTTGGTGAAATGTGGAGTTTCAGGACATAAGTTCCATTATTCTGGCAAGAAGATAATAACAACGAGACCATCAATCGTTTAGGCCTATTTTACTCTCGGTCGGAAGAGCAAATTCATAACTGCATCGTGGTACATGTTCGGAGTTGGAGGCCGGGGTGCAGGGGATTGTTACATTCCCCGTGCCACCGCATGCTGTTTCGAACTACAGAAAAATCCTGATTTCACGAACCTTAAGCTACTTGAACCTCCCCAAACAACAACAAGAACAAACTGAAATAGGAACTCTGCATTGAAATATGCTTGCTATCACACATTACTTACAATATCAAAGCCAGCTGCTGTTGGAGACATGGCACAGCTCCAAATTTCCATATCGGGAACTTTCACAATCTCCAGACGGTTCTGAATCGCCACATAAGGACCAGAAAGAGGGTATTGAGGAATGCTCGTCCACGACAGGTTAGGTACACCCAAGGCACTTGAATGTGGATAAAATTCTGCGGGCAGGTTGACTCGATGGGAGTGTGTTATCATGGTGTCTAACTCTACTCCCATCATGATCCTAAAAACATATATTGAGAAAAAAAATGCCTTTATTTTTGCCTAGATCAAAAACGCGCGATCAGAAAGTTCTGCCGAGGGTGAAAACGTTGAGTGGAACTCAGAGGAGACACGCTTCGCGCAAAATCTCACGCCAACGATTCGCCGCCTCGCGCCTTGAGAGAAGAAGAGAAAATGTAGTTATATGTCGTTGTTTCTCCGAGCGACGCTCTAAGGAAGGGAGAGCGACTGAGCGACCTGGAGCGTCTGAGAATGGGGCTAAACATTTCCT